AATATCTTAAGCACGCGCGTAAGTACGTGCACGAAGGCTATTACAGAATAATGAGAAAACAGAGAGCTGGAATCGTGCATGAGTCGGAAAATGCTTGGCTGTGATCGCCATGTGAATTTAGCTGTGATTTTAATTCGTATGTAGATACAGGCCCTAATAAACAAATATTGAATAGATTTGACTTGAGAGAGCTGGAATCGTGCATGGGTCGAAAAATGCAAGGCTGTTTGTAAATGTATGTTCATTGCATGTGGGTAATCATTTATATCCCAGCAACCAACTAAAACCAAACAAAATTAATTTTGGTGGATCAACAAAATACTTCATTCAACGTGCTGCAAAGGATTTTTGGATATCCGTCTCCGATCTGTTTTGATTCCTTTGCTTCTTCCAAACGAAAATTAGTTGTGCAGTCAAATTTGATCAAACTCCACAACATGTGCTGTTTTCCTTTTCGGGGGCTTGGTGACGAGGATCCAACTCCAAGTGAAGCATTTCAAGCAGTATTAAAACCATTTCCAAGTCCAACTTGTACGCATGACGTGACATGGCTCGTCTTCATGTGGTCTCGTTTGTTGACAATTGTTGAAATTTTTTAACCTATTTCAAAATACAAAGTCGATTCACCTTTTAAAAGTTATGGTTGTTAATATTATCACTTAATTAGTATTCATAGCTCTTAATGTACCGTTTCTACAACAATAAACTTACATGTTGCAATCTAAAATCTTGTTTTATTTAAGCATCATTGAAATCTGCATATTCGCTATAAAAGATAAGTATTTCACTGTTATTAGTTTTATCCAATTTAATATTTCAATGTGAAAGAATATTTACTATATGTACCTTATGAGATTTGTTAGGAGAAGCAACATCACATCGCTAAAATATCCAACAACAATGACATTACGTATGCCTTAATACAAGTATATTGTGTTTGCTATCTTTGATGAGGATCTATAGCGGTGGTGCTTGTGCTGGTATCAATGGTGTTTGTGTTGATATCGTTGATGCGTATAATCTCCATATCAATGAATTAGTTACTTAAAAATATGCGAATGTGACAACCTTAATTTGTAACTGTTCTATGTAATTCATGCAAAATTACTAGGCTTTTATCACAAATAGTCCTTGAAATTGACCCTCATCATCAAGGTGGTCCTTGAAATTGAAAATCAATCAATTTAGTCCCTGAAAATGGTGTCGCAAATCAATGTGTAGTCATTCCATCATAATTCTGTTAAAAAATATATTAAGTGCTGATGTGGCACATAAATGGGGCCCACAATATTTATGGGTTTTTATCATAAATGTTCCTTGAAATTGACCCACACCATCAAGATGGTTCGTGAAATTGAAAATCGAACAATGTAGTCTTTGAAAATAGATATCGCAAATCAATATGATCATTCCAGCACAATTCTGTAAAAATATTTGTTATGTGCTGATTTGGGTTTAATAATTAATTAAAATAGTTGTCTAAATACTTTTTTGCACAATGAATTTTTTTTTCCTTATAGTAGAGCCTACTTCGAAGAGAGATCTCTTCCATAAATTCTCAAAGGTAAGAAGAGGTGTGGAAATAGTTTTCAACCAACAATAGACGCGCCTCGGGTATGACCTCATTATCTCAAAGCAGACCTCGTTGTTCTTTGCATCACCAGACCATCAGGGAAGCGCCGAATAAGCTCTCCAAGATTAAGGTTGTGAGGATGTTGATCATCTAAATGTTAACTGTGATGTCCCAGAAGTCGTTGCCAATCGATCAAGCTATCACCGAAGATGATCTTGTTGCAAGTTCAATTCAGTGAAGGGTGTCGAAATGTGTAAATATGGGTACGCTATGATTTTTTTTTAGAGAATAGAAAGTGAATGAGGTAGAGAAATGTGGATTGGAATCAGAGGTAATTGTAGGATTGTGTTTTTGGGTTGACAATTTTTTATCAACTATTAAATTATTAAGAGTATTTGTAAGTTTTTAAATTTAATTAGTCTTATATGACCCATTTATGTATCACATTAGTACATACATAATTTTTGACAAAATTATGACATAATGACAACTTTGATCAATTTTCAATTTCAGAAACCATTTTGATGTCGTGGGTCAATTTCAGACCATTTTGATGTTCCAAGTCAATTTTAACGACCATTTGTATGAAAAAAAATGACTTATGGGGTCCATTTATGTGACATAATAGTACTTAACAGAATTTTTAACAGAATTGTGACGGAAAGACCAAATTGATTTGCGACACCTATTTTCAAGAATTATATTAATTGATTTTCAATTTCAAGAACTATCTTGATAATGATGGTTAATTTTAAATATCATTTGCGATAAAAACCCAAATTACTATTGTTTCTTGGAAGAAAAAGTCCAACTCATACCTGATAACATCAAATTAATTGATAATTTCTTCTGACAGGGCAATGATTGTTTCTTGAATGCACCTTCTCATCCCAAGAACCCGTGTTCCCCGTGTAGACCAGCCATTATTTAAGACTTTATACATTTCAAATTATTATTCAAACACAGATATGAAAAATCACAGTTGATTAAAAATTAAAAATATAAAGAACAGAGAGATGGAATCATGGAAACGAAGTGGTGGTTGAATGGTATTTGTCTGGGTCCAATACTCCATATGCTTGGAACGACGAAGGCCACATGAAATAAGTACAATTAAATGTAAGAGCGTCTCCTGTAGAAGTAGTAGGGAGGGTGATTAGGTTTCCTTGCTGGGTATGTAATTAGATTTCCTTCTCCCCAAAAGAAGAAGGTTTATCGTATATCTTGGCTTTTATTGTATATATTTCTATAGGGTTAAACCGAATCAACAGGACCATCCAATTATACATTTCTATAGGGGATCAATACTTCAGGTTTGTCTTTTCATCATCATGTGCCGTCCAAACCATCATCTTCGCTTAGAAGTGAGAGGTCTTAGAGCCATAAACTCAGCATCTGTTTTTCTCTTCCAACCCGGCTTAAAATTTTAGTTTAAGATTAATAATATAATGAATTTAGCCTACTTTTTTTTTCGGTAACTTTTTTAAAAATAAAATTTATGAAGATTATCATAATTTATTTTTATGAACATTTAAATCTAAATATATTTAAATTCTGATAAGTAATTAAAAATCATACAAATACATAGGTATTTATATAGTTTTAAGTTAAATTTGATTTAAATAATTTTCTTAAATTACTTTAGACAGATTTAATTTTAGGCCGTCAAATCTTTTTTTTACCATTAGATTTGTCTCATTTGATCATAATTGTTAGATTATAAGTAAAAAAACAAAAAAAAAGTTGTTTGAAATATCACAATTTTGTAGGTCAAGAATAATTTAAGTCAGGCTTTTCTAGGAGAATCTAGGATAAAGATATATTTTCTCTCCATGACTTATTTTAGCCCAATGGTTGAAGAAGTAATTGTCGTCTTCACTGAACTTGTTGTATAAAATACGTCAGTACACCAGTCCTATGTACATTTTTATGATTAAGTGGTTGCAGAAGTTATTGTCATCTTCATTCAACTTGTCGCATAAATATACATCAGTACAAGAGTCCTATGTAAAGCTGGATACATTTTATCCCAACATCAAAACTAATAAACAACATTTACATTTGAATTTAAACATTAGAATATGAAACAGAAGTTTCATGTTGACTAAGACTGTTGTGTAAAACTTATGTCCAAAGACGGGGTGGAAACCCTAATTGTAGTCCAAGACTCCCTCATTCCATATTCCATCATGGCTCAAAACTCGTTATATATTCTATAACTCAAGACTCCCTTATTCCATATTTCATATTCCGTCATGTTGAATAGGACTTCAGTCCTCCCAATCCTTATACCTTGAAACTGATTAAAAGGAAATTAAGGTTCCATCGTAACACTAATTGACAATATATATGAGTAGCCCCACTACTTATAAGCAAATGCAAAGTATTTTCGTTCTTCGATGTGAGATCCATACTCTCAACACGTGTACACCTCTTCCCTTGCATAACACCACCGGCTAGTCCATCTTCTAATAACACTAATACTCCGTGTGAAGTTGTAAATGGGGAAGAGATAAATAGTAGAGTGAGGTATTGGCTCAATTGTGGAGGGAGTGGCGGGCACTGCCGATCGGAGGGCTGAGGTAGCTCAACCGTCACAATCCTTTTCCTTTTTAATTTTTCAATTTTCCCCTAAAGTTTAAAGTTAACAAAATGAACTATACCAAAACAAATTGAAAGGATAGTTTTAGTATATTCTTAAATGTATTTGGGTGTCCAAAGAAATATAAATTCAGGACTGAGAAAATTTAAGTGTTGAAAAATTGGTTTTAAAGGCATGTTTACTTAACTCGAATGGGAAATTTGAAGAAATCAAATAATTTAGAAATATGGGAAGTACGGGAATGGAATCGGATCACCTAGTCCTCATCGTTGATCTTTTTACTAGTTAATCTGATTATTAAATTTTAGGTATTTGATTACGGATTTCAAAATTTTTTTTTACAATTTTCCGATTTCTGACATGTAATGTAAATAACGTAGAATAAAGTTCATCCGTATATTAATTCCATACCAAATTTAATAAACGCATAAAATGCAAGAATAAAAAATTATTCACATTCCAATTCCAAAGTGTAAACAGGATTTCTCTAACATCAAACGTTGATTGGGCCTTTCTCGGTATTATGAATGCAGTTATTGGGCCTCCTACAGTCCCACTTCACGCCGGACTAAATTGAAAGAGAATTGTTATTGGTAGTTCAAAAATCTCATTCTATATTTCAAATTTTTTATATTTAAAAAGATAAATATACTTATGAAGAGTATAGAATGAAATTTTTGAAACGTACACTCCCCAATTGAAATGGTTAGGTCTCCTTTTACTGGTCTGCAACAAAAAGGGTGGGAGGGGCACAATCGTAATTCTGAAAACTTCACCTCCTATAATATATATATATATATATATATTTTTTTTTTTTTGAACTGTCCTCCTATAATATTAATTGCGCAAAAGCCATAGCCTCCCTCCCAAATTTCTCAATCTTCTTCTATCTTCTAGTGTTTACGAAATTTAGGGCTAATTAATAAAATTGAAAGGAAAACCTCTCTATTCGGATCCTATCCGACTTCGTTAGGATCCAAGTTAGGATTTTGGGGGTTTTCCGTTAGGTTTTTTTATTGATGGGTACGGAGAGGAAGAGGAAGGTGAGCTTGTTCGACGTGGTGGACGAGACCTCCATCTCATTGGCGAAGATGAGCAAATCGAACGGCGACGGCGGAGCTGCTGCCAACCAAAACGCTGTGAGCAGTATGATCAATCGGTGGACGGGAAAGCCGTACTCGCAGAGGTACTATGAGATTCTTGAGAAGAGGAAGACGTTGCCGGTTTGGCACCAGAAAGAGGAGTTCTTGCAGGCTCTCAAAGCCAGCCAGTCTCTCATTTTGGTCGGTGAGACTGGTAGTGGTAAAACCACGCAGGTTCGTTTCTTCAAACTTTTACTGTACTTTTCGTGTATTTTGTAGCATGAAATAGATAATGGAAGCGGAATGAAAATTTCGAACTTGGTAATGCATATTTTGATTTTTCGCAAATTGCGATAGGTATTTAATTTGATTTTTAATTAGGGAATTGTTATTGGCATTTCAAAGTTCCAAACTTTCTATATTTAAAAAGAATAATACACGTATTGTGAATTAGAAATAATAGTAGCTTTTGTAGTGTTGAGAGAGAAGAATACAGTGATATATTTAAAACCCTTGTAGTCCGAATGATTTGAGGGTTGCTTTTTAAATGTCAGTTGTCATGCTATGCAACAGTGGTTGAGCTTAAATAGCAGTCTTATGTTTTACACCGTAACGATGCATATGGGAATTAATTCTCTATTGACGGTCGATATTACCTGATATACCTTTTTTCTGAACCACATTTGTCACCCTTGGCCCGAGGGTGCTCTTTTACCCTAATATCATTACGGCAATCCTGTTAACTTATTTGAACGTAAAGGTTGGAATCTTTGTAGGCCGGTTATAAATAAAAAGGATCTGGTTGAACTTCATAGTGCGTGCCACTTTCACAACACAACTAGGACTTGCCTACAGGAAATTTAGCGATTCTGGTAAGTTTAGGGCCGGAGCCAAAAACTATGCTAGAACTAGATGGGGCCTAGCCATGCTTTCCCCATTTCCAGGAGATACCACAATAAAGAATCTGGATAATTATGAGATTACGCTTTATATATCATATATTATGCTCTATGAACCTATTAGAAAGTTGATTGTGAGTTGATTTTTATCTTCTCCCCTATATTTTTCTTGATGAAGATCATGTAAAGAATGAGAATTGTTGAAATCGTCTAACCATGGCACTTCTCTATCCACTTTTACAGATTCCTCAATTTGTTTTGGAAGCTGTCGATTCAGAATCTTCAGATAAACGCAAGAAGATGATGGTTGCATGTACCCAACCCCGTAGAGTGGCTGCAATGTCAGTATCCCGTCGTGTTGCTGAAGAGATGGATGTAACCATTGGAGAAGAGGTCGGTTATAGCATCCGTTTTGAAGACTGCAGCAGTTCCAGAACTGTGTTGAAGTAAGCTCAACATCTTTTCTGTTCATTTTTATTGCTTTATCATTTGTACTCTTTTAGGGAGTCATTGATAAGTTACTTACATAATATGCATATTTTGTGTGGCAGGTATCTAACTGATGGAATGCTTTTAAGAGAAGCAATGACTGATCCACTATTAGAAAGATACAGCGTGATAATTCTTGATGAAGCTCATGAAAGGACTTTAGCAACAGATGTTCTATTTGGGCTGTTGAAGGAAGTGTTGAGAAACAGACCTGACTTGAAGGTGGTAGTGATGAGTGCTACACTTGAAGCTGAAAAGTTTCAGGGCTATTTCAGCGGTGCGCCACTCATGAAAGTTCCTGGAAGGCTTCATCCAGTGGAAATTTTTTACACTGAGGAACCTGAAAGGGATTATCTGGAAGCAGCGATTCGAACAGTTGTGCAGATTCATATGTATGAGACCCCAGGAGATATACTTGTTTTTCTAACGGGAGAGGAGGAGATAGAAGATGCGTGCCGCAAAATTAACAAGGAAATTGGAAATCTGGGTGACCAGGTTGGTCCTGTGAAAGTGGTGCCTCTGTATTCAACTCTACCTCCAGCTATGCAGCAGAAAATATTTGATCCTGCTCCTCCTCCTGTAAAAGAAGGTGGAATTCCTGGAAGGAAGATTGTGGTGTCCACAAACATTGCAGAAACTTCTCTGACTATTGATGGAATTGTTTATGTTATTGATCCTGGATTTGCTAAACAACAAGTCTATAACCCAAGAGTGCGTGTTGAATCATTGTTGGTATCGCCAATTTCCAAGGCAAGTGCACATCAGAGGTCAGGTCGTGCTGGAAGAACTCAGCCAGGAAAATGTTTCAGACTTTATACTGAGAAAAGTTTCCAGAATGATCTTCAACCACAAACTTATCCAGAAATATTGAGATCCAACCTTGCAAATACAGTTCTTACTTTGAAGAAATTAGGAATAGATGATCTGGTTCATTTTGATTTTATGGATCCCCCTGCTCCCGAGACACTGATGAGAGCACTAGAGGTCTTGAATTATTTGGGAGCATTGGATGATGATGGTAACTTGACCAAGCTGGGGGAGATTATGAGTGAGTTCCCGTTGGATCCTCAGATGTCAAAGATGCTTGTAGTCAGCCCTGAGTTCAGCTGCTCAAATGAAATTTTGTCAATATCTGCCATGCTTTCAGGTACTCTATTTTCTATTTTGTCATTGCTTTCTCAGTTGTGTGTCTTGGTTCTTATCTACATCAAGTAGATAAGTCGGGCTGCATGATTCTTGATTCTGTGCCTTTGAGTCTGTTATGTGTACAGACATTTTCTTTTGTGCACACACTGTCCTAACTGCTACATCTGCATGCAAATGCTTATGCATGTGGTTGAAGCGGTAATGTGTCATATTAGGTTGTCATCAGCAACTGTCTTGTCTAGGTTCCATGCCCCCGGTTGGCTTGTCCCTATGGATTTTTAAGTAAGTGCTGATGCATATAGTTGCAGTTTCTCAGTATTATCTCATGAAGCAAATGGTGTCGTCTCGCCTCTATGCATCTGCTAACGTTCCATGGGCCTCGTCTGTGATAACCAATTTATTTCTTAGTACCCAATTGCTTTGTCCGGCCTAGGGAGGCTCAAAAAGCTGCTGACGAAGCAAAAGCTAGGTTCGGGCACATTGATGGAGATCATCTCACGCTTCTGAACGTGTATCATGCATACAAGCAAAATAGTAAGTACATTTATCTCATTATTTCATTACTGATTTGAAGTTGATCATCCGGTGGGTTGTCATATTAAAGTCTTAATTTTAATGGTGTAGATGAGGATCCGTCATGGTGCTATGAGAACTTTGTCAATCAGAGGGCATTGAAGTCTGCAGACAATGTCAGGCAGCAGCTAGTGCGCATTATGGCCCGATTTAACCTCAAGCTATGCAGTACTGAGTTCAATAGTCGTGACTACTACATCAACATAAGAAAGGCCATGCTAGCTGGATATTTCATGCAGGTGGCTCACCTGGAACGCACTGGCCACTATCTGACAGTGAAAGATAACCAAGTACATAAAATTATTCTTTACTTTCCATATAGGCCATCTATTATTCCCCTTTTTTGCCTTGTCACAGTGTTTGTACTTGCTCCTGATATGTATTATTATCTTAATTTGCAGGTGGTACATTTGCATCCATCGAATTGCTTGGATCACAAGCCAGACTGGGTGATTTACAATGAGTACGTTTTGACAAGCAGGAATTTTATCCGTACAGTGATGGATATTCGTGGGGAGTGGTCAGCCTCTCTCTCTCTCTCTCCCTCCCTCCCTTCAAAATACGCATATATTAAGGTGAATCTAAATTGTGTCATGCCCTCGTGAGTTTATCTGTTTCTAAACTCCCAAATATTACATGTTTACAGGCTAATCGATATAGCACCCCACTACTATGATTTGGTGAATTTTCCTCAGTGTGAGGCCAAGCGTGTTCTTGAGAAGCTATACAGGAAGCGGGAGGATAAGGATGAGAACAAAAACAGAAGATGAAGTTCTTAACCCTGATTCTTCGGAATGTGCAGATTATTGTAAGGAGCAATTATTGAGTGCTGGTCGAAGTTAGCATATTTCAGCATTTTGCGTCTCCGAGCATCTCAGTTGTCACTGTAATTGGGAAAAGGCCTTGCATTGTTTCTGTACCATTTCTTGAATGATCTTGGATGTGATGGCCTTTATGGTATTCATGATTTAGTGGCAGTTTTAACATTTGATTAAAGTGTAACACGAGGTTATTATTTGATTCATGACCAATGAAAATCTAATTTCCAAGCATAAATGTTGTGGTAGTGTAAATTGGACCTTGTAATTCAGTATGTTTTTGGTCAGTTTCTTGTGTTTGTTCATCTCATTCCATGTAGAGATTCGACCCAGCTACCAGCGTTCTGCTTTCGTATGCCTTTCTCTTCCATCGTCTTCCTAAACTCTTGGACGCTGTTCCATACACCTCTTTCGCTGTGAATCTTTGAAAGCGTCGAACGACTTGCAGGATGGGCATGTCCCAGTTTGTCAATTTCTTTAGCAGCTAACTCGCCAAGTTCGAAACTTGAATGCAAGCCACATGCACCATGCCGATAACGCGTTCACAAACTAATTGATCTGATAGTGCAAAGTGCCGTGCCAATATCTCCGCATTTCGCGTACATACCAACAAGCGCGGTAGAAAATGTAAAATGATTTGGCCCTTGAGTCCATGAAACCACATTCTTTTCGCTCATCTTGTCGAAAACAGACCGAGCTTTGTTAATCCTCTTCTCATTTGCAAGAAACATCGATTAACTCCGTGTGGGTTTTTGGCTTTCTGCAACCCCAACAACATGGTGTTCCACGAAACGACGTCTCTCACGAGCTTTTGATCGAACAGGTCCTGTGCAATTGGCGCTTGGTCATTCCTCACGTAATCTGCAATCATTCTGTTACATGACAGAATGTTACGGGATGCAGGGAAACTGGCCGTCGGAAGCGTATAAAGCTGGCGGTAGTTTGTCAGCTAAGGAATTGGATCCTCTCCGAGGCAATGCCTCGGGATTCTTCTGACTGGACAACACGGACTGTTGGATCAAAATCCAATGGCTACAAACAGAGGTTCTTATAAAAGTTATAATAATTGTAACCGTTGGATTTATGGCCCGTATTGTCCGGTCAGGAGGATCCCGAGGCTTTGCCTCGGAGAGGATCCAATTCCGTTAGCTAATATTTTCAGAAGAACTTCTCCACGTACATATGTACTCCAAGTTTTATGAACTTAACATGAGGTGAAAAGTAGTGCATGTCACCATAACATCACGCAACATGTTGAAGTAATAAGGTTCACACATTATTATATGTGACGGTAACACTGTGATACGGTAGTAAAATAGTCCACATAAACTAGAAGACGGTAGTATACAATTCAAGATTATTTGTAGTCCTCATATTTGGATATGTTCATATAATTTTAATTAGAAATGATAGATTGATAGATAATAATATGATAGATGAGATTGATGATGAGAGAATCTAATGAAAGCATTATAGAGAGGTGAAGTCTTGATAAAAAAATAATTGACCATAACATGAGTTATGGCATATACCGTATGCCAATATATATAGTCATTGTTGCACTCATTTTTAAAAAATAAAAATAAAAATAATTTGGTGACGAAATTAAATTTTTTGTGGAAATGTTTAGAAAAGTAATTTACGATAACATGAAGTTAGCTCAAGTCAAAACAAACAACTAGGCTGTATCATTTAGGGATCCAAAAATCCCCTTGAAGTCTAAAGGTGTCCTTTATAACTTTTAGTTGTGGTGGAAGGCCCAACTCCCATTGGAGGTGCTCCAAAAACAAAACAATGCATTTAGGGTTGGTTTGATATTGCTATACTTTGAAAAAAAAAAGTACTTCTATTGTGCTGTAAGAATAAACAGCTGTACAATAAAGTAGCAGAGTGTTTGGTAAACATTTTTGTAAAAGTGCTTTTTTTTTTAAAAAAAAAAAAAACAGTATTATAGTGTTTGATAAACTTTTATGTAAAATAAATGTGAAAAAAAACTGGTTTTTCAAAGATGAGTTTTGCAGCTTTGTGTTTTTGGCTTTTTTTTCACCCAAAACTGTGAAAAAAGCTGAAGCTGAATGTTTAACAAACATATAAAAGCTGTAGTTTTTTTTATAGCCACTTTTTTCAAAATCATCTCAGTACCAAATTAGGACTTAGTACTGAAACTGGAGTCAGGTAGAGGAAGCAGTTGTAGAGTTGTAAAGTTGAGATGAGTTTTGCATAACTGCAGTAACATTCTGACAATATTATAGCGTAACAACGAAGGCTCGAAGAACACGAAATTACGTAACAAGTAGCATCCAAGTACATGATCAACGCATTATTAAAAAAATTAATTCACTCTAACACAACAGGATTAAAACTCACTAAAATGCCATCAGCAGTTCGGTATGCATACATCATACATAAACACACGTACCCACACACATACACACACACATCTACATATATATATATATGTATATGTATATGTATATGGAGCTCCTATATTATACTGGTGGTCATGACACTCGGAGAACCGCCACACACATGCCTCCCTACTGATTTCAACAAGTCCACGACGTTAATTACTAAATTTTCGTCCATCCAGGGTATTGTAGAGTTGATCAATTTGAACCTGCACGTAAAATGCTTCGTTGTCAGTTGCTTTGCACTTGGTAATTAGCAATTAACTGTAATTTCGCAAGTGCGAAATAGGGAACATAAATGCAGTATATATACCTGGTAATACTTGAGCAAGTGATTTCGTTTCTTCTTCAATGTTGCAGTCACCAAGTCTCTTTCCACGTCGAAGGGCCGAGGTTCTATGATGATTCCTTTGATATATTGAAAGCCACTCAGCTGTTTGAGAACAAATCAAAAGACACTAATCAGACACCCCATCTCGAAAATATTGGTTTAGTTTTTAATTAATTAAGATTCTTATAATTACCTTGTTCCTCTCAGCTATCAACTTAAGCTCAGCCATAATGTGATCTTTTAGCTGATCAAGAGAACAAAGATCCGAAAAGGAACCCATGTGACCGTTCAAATAAGCCCACTTCTTGGCGGTCTCTTCTTCCGGTACCACCACTGCAACAATCATCGACTTGAAGCTGTTTCCGTAGACCCAAATCTTCAAAAAAAGGAAGAAGAAAACAGCCTCATCGAACAGCACATTAGCATATATAAGCTCATGAAATATACATGTAAAGAATTAGATGCTTACATCTTCAATAATAGAAGCAATGCCATAAACATTTTCCAAGTACTCGAGTGCAACATACTCTCCTTGTGAGAGTTTGATAAGATTCTTCTTCCTATCGATAACCTTGATGACTCCGTTTGGAAGTATTTCCCCTATGTCACCTGAGAAATATTGTATGCCCCATCAATACATTTATTTTTTCAATCAAATTATATTACTGGAAAAGGATTAATTATGATCATTAAATTAATTAACCTGTGTGGAACCAGCCATCTTTGATGGCCTCTCTTGTTAATTCAGGATTTTTGTAGTAGCCAGCAAAAACAGTCTTCCCTCTCACACATATCTCACCACACGGATGATCCCCAAGTGGATTATATCCCATTTCCGGAACCTCCTCAAGGCGCATCTCATTGTATACAGATACAGTGCCAACAGCACCAACCATGCACATTTCGTCAGGAAAGCCGAGAGTTGTCGGTCCAATAGTTTCTGTCAACCCTGAAAGAATTATCCACAACGCTCTTAATTACTTGAGTTAAAGTCCCCGTATTTCTATCTAGCTAGATGTGTCCAAACAAGATATATTCACTACATTATCCTATACACTAACTGGGACTTATTCTAGCTAATATTACCAAGGAGATTAACTTAGCTAAATTTCTTCTTAGAAAGGGATTTACAACTTAATCTAAAGGGTAGTAGATTTATGTATGCTTAATTTTCATAAATACTGTTTAATGCTAAAAACAGAGTTCTTTACCATAGCCTGTGACTACGAATGCGCAGCAGGTAACTCGCAAGAATTCTTCGATCTCAGAGCTCAAGGGTGCACCTCCAGATATTACAAGTCGAAGTTGACCACCCAACCTAGCTTTGACCTAAAAACGTTAACAACATCAGGTAAGACTATTGTTGTGTGCGGATATTTCCCTTTGAAATAAAAGTTATTAATCAGATGAAAAATAAAAATACAACCTTTCTGAAGGCCAACAGATCCGCTATGGGCGATGCGTATTTGTTTTTATACCCCCTATTCATCCAAGCAAGTTTGCTGTATAACAAAAGAAAGATGTTAGCTTCAAACATAAGTGATGTACAATTAATAAAGTTGAAGGCCTACTTACTATTTGTAGAGAATGTCAAAAATCTTCCTTCTTCTTGGATTAAGCTCTAGCACTGCTTTCTTTATACCTGAAATACAGGTGAGTTTGAATCATTACGCATATCTGAAATCCACAAAAATGTGTAGTTTAATTCTGCAGACGGATAGAAAAGCAAAACTTTTTCCTGCCTTCATGTATTTTTTCGAAAACTCGAGGTACCCCAGCAAGAAGCGTTGGCTTTAACTCCACCATGTCATCCCTCAGTGCATTAAGATCCTTCAAATAGAGAATCAATGCAAACATAATTAAGAGAGTTGGGAAGTTTATGGTTGGATTTTTCGTTAAAATGATATATAAAGGATTTGTTTTATAATCTCCCAACAAGATACAAAAAACTCAGGTAGCATACCCCATGATAGTAGCCAACAGCAGCACCATTGCGGAAAAAATACTCCTCAATCACACGGTCAAGGATATGAGCCAAGGGAAGGAAAGATAGATAGACATCATCCCCTGTCATCTACTCAACATCATAAATTAATGCACAAGTCAGTATAAGAGAAATTATTATGAACTAACAAGGTAATTAGGTACCCCTTGAAAAACACAGGAAATGGTAACACATACTTACCTTGTCTTCAAATTGTTCCATAAAGAGATCAATCCCTCTCACTCCATATGCAACATTTTCATGTGTTATCACGACTCCTTTAGGATCTCCGCTGGTGCCGCTTGTGTACATAATGCCAGCGATATTATCTGTCGTTGGTGGAACAATCTCCGACGGATTTTGTTTACCCTGAAAACAAAAAACTCTATTCGTAACTGGGTGAAAAAGCGAAAGGAGTAGCAATTAAAAAGAAAACATTGCTAGTATTGGTCTATTTCAAAATAGTGCAAGGGTTCTTTTCCTTGCTATGAAACACACAAAAGAAAAAGAAATAAAAATAGTTATGCTGGTTAACATAGAGAAACCAACCATCTCCGTGAACTCATTCCATGAGTACGGTTTTATCCCAATCTGCACTGATTTGTTCTTCTCTTCATCCGTCATTGAACTGAAGCAGACCATAACTGTAAACACAAACAAACTCAGCACAAGGTCTTTGAGCAGATGTAGGGAACATGAACTAATCCAGTCATTCTCACCTTTTATTCGTTTAGAAGATGTAGAATCAGGTTTCAGTAGCTGCAAGGTAAAGAAATTGTATCAAATCAGAACCATCTAGTGCTTGTGAAAATGAATATGTGGAATATAAGATTTGATAAAAATGCAGATCGAGATATTTGTTTCTCACTTCTTTCACTTTCTTATCTTGGACAAAAACAACCTCAAGCTCTGCGTGATCTATAATAAAGTTTACAGCTCCTGGACCTGCATCAACACATTCCTGATCACTTGAGAGAAGTTCAACTAAATCTCTTGACATTAATGAACCCCTCCAAACATCAAGTAAAAAGAATCACTGTGATTATTTACGAATATTAATTACCAAGGGTATCGTAGAGAGGCACGCAAATCAAACTGTGAGCATTACAAGCCTACAGAAAATTTAAACAAGTTGATCATCACATGGTTGATCATACAAATCAATCATAATGAATAAAACATAAATATATATACACACATATATAAGAAATTAACAAATGAAAAAAGAGATTGAAGACGAAACCAAACACCAACCTCCATTGCCATAATCCACTGAGGACAATTTGCACCATAAATCCCAACCCGGGAACCCTATTCCGTCGTCAAATCCAAAAACGAGACTAGTTTCAGTTTCCAAAATCAACAACCATTGACTACTCAAATTGCAATCCCCTTGAATTATATTATGTGAACTTACAGGTTCAACACCGGATAATCGCAATGCAGAACCAACATCCAGAACTTCGTCATAAACCTCCTTGTATGTTTTCCAAGTGTAAGGCCCTGGCTAAAGAGCATACACAGTAATACAGTCAAAACTCAGTTTCCATTTTTTACTGGATGTGATGGTAAATTATCAGTGCATTACTTAAAAACTTTATAATCTACTTCACCTTCCCATCAACCATTTTACGCCAGCCAAGCATTCGATTTCCAGGATACTTCTGGACAGATAGACTGCGCATCAAGATTGTCAAAGAAATGAACTATTAGAAGGTAACTAATGCAGTAAGAGTCTAATCAAATTACACACGTTCAAGTAAATCTGACATACTATTGGTAGAGAATTGAAAGCACCTAAAGAGGTCCCAAGATGAATTAATTTGGCGATCAGGCGGAGGAAAATCATTTTGGGCGAGTAAATTACGGTACACTGGACCGAGTGAAGGCTTGCCATCCTCGCCTTCTCTTCCTTCCTCCACTGCAACTGAGAAAATCTTCATTCCTTTTTGGTTTTCAAGAACCCTGGACGTATGAGTTAACAGTCAGCCGAAAAGTCCAGACACAAAGTACCATACGTGATGTGAACTTATGTGTGAAAATAAGCCAAGGTCTCTGAGTTCAAACACTTCTCTTCCCCATAATCGTAGCTTAGAGTAGTAATATCATTCTAATCAAAGAACAAAAAACTTCAAGAAGTCCAAACAAAATTTAAGACGAAAAAAATTTTATGTACCAAATATTAAAAATTAAAAAAAACTTCAGAATAGTAAACTAAAATCAATCTTTATTTTTTGGTAAAACAAAAGTACAACTAACTAAGTTGCACGACTTTGATTACGGTTTTTTTAGCAGAGTGAGGCGAATGTACAGGGAAACAAAAGATTATGGCTAGCTATAACTTCACCAACCAAAAAATTAAAACCAAAATAAAAGTAAATAAATACAAAGAAAGAATTTGAGGAAAGACTATTGAGCAACTTAGCATTAGTTTGGTACTGAGGTGATTCTGAAAAAAGTGGCTATAAAAAAAATTGGGAGCTTTTTTATATTTGGTAAACATTTAGCTTGAGTTTTTTTTTCACATTTTTGGGTGAAAAAAAAGCCAAAAACACAAAGCTACAAAATCCAGCTTTGAAAAACCAACTTTTTTCCACATCTGTTTTACATAAAAGTTTATCAAACACTATAATATTGCTTTTTTTTTTTTTTTTTCAAAAGCACTTTTACAAAAAAGTTACCAAACACTTTGGTGCTTCATTTCACAGCTGCTTATTCTCACAGTACAGCAGAAACAATTTTTTTTCAAAGCACAGTACCAAAGCCCTTAACCTAAGTTTAGAGCTAACTTCACCGATCCCCCTTCCTTTTAACAATTAACAAGGGAAGTGTTATTGACACTCCAAAAATCTCACTCTACACTTCTCATAAGTGTATTTTTCTTTCTAAATATAGAAAGTTTGAAGTGTAGAATAAGGAAGTTGGAGTACCAATAACAATTTCCATTAACAATTAACAATTTAACTATTAATGCTATCATTTATAAAAATAAAATAAAAAGACTTTTTTTTTTAAATACAATGAATTCATTAAAATGAAAATTAAAAACCACATGCAGACGGGCAGGGAGAGGGGTAAAGTAAAGCAACACGAGGAATTAATAGTCCCAACCAAACATGACGCCACATACAAAACAAAGTTTGGCAGACGAAAAAAATCTGAGAGTTGACGACACAAAGCTTATATTTCATAAGACCACCCAAAACCACCATTTTAAATACAGATTACTTAACATAACTATTTATAAATACATATATATATATACATATATATATATATATATCGTTATGAAGCAAAATGCACGCCTAAAAATAGCTAGCCATGCACAAGACTGGCTAAACTTGCATGCTTTTGTGTGCGCGCGTGAGAGAGAGAGAGAGAAAGAGAGAGAGAGAGAGAGAGAGAGAGAGAGAGAGAGAGAGAGAGAGATGAATCACTAACAGAGAACTGGGAGAGGGAGGAGTATGGAAGCGTGAGAGACACCTGCACGAGCAGTGCAGCTTCAAAATATATTTATGAGAGAAAGATAAGGCAATGGGGGTCATCAATAATTAGTTAGTTGAAATAATAGGTGGGAAGGATATAGGTGAATAAATATATCTGATAGAAGCATTGCAGGTTCACAAACTAATCATGAACATCACCTACATCAGATTACTACTGATAGCTAGTTAGTATTGTTAGAGTTAGTTTTGTGACCAGCTTTTGCTAGTTGTTGCTAAGTTAAAGTGCTGAGTCAGCACTCATTTGATGTATGTATAAATACTCTTTCAATGTATGATTCTGATTCATTAAAATGAAAGATTCAGTTTTTTCACTTTCTATCATGGTATCCCTCGTTGGTGTCTAACGGCGCATCGATCCTACGCTTCCCCTTTCTCATACTTTCTTGTATTTTCTCACATTTTCTCGTCTCCCAAACAGATCCCTGCTTCTCCAATTCTTCAATTTCTGCTGCAATTCGTCTCATGAATTTACAAAAATACGGGAATTTACAAAAATGCCCTAGAAGCAAAGATTTTGACTAATGTTGACCATCATCTAGAGAGATGTATGACTTATTCTTTTAGCATATCCTCGTAGTACTCGTTGATGCAAACGCATAGGCAAAAGCCGTTTGTGAGTCTGGATTATAACGGTATAGTTATGGACGTTTGAAGTTGGTTATTGAGAGTTAGTTAAAAGATTAAGAATGACCAATTAGATGAAAAAGAAGAAAAGGGCAGCAGCCCAATCAGAAATCAGAAAGAGAAAAAAAAGAAAAAAAAAAAGAAGTGGGGGGGGGGGGGGGGAGCTCCCAGCTTTTCCTGTGGGTTTTCCGTCTGTACACCTCCACGACCATCCATCTTCCAAGGCCGATTTCGGCCAACTCCAATGGAGTTTTTCGACGCCACCACCACCATCTTGAAGCTCTCATTTCTCTCTATAAAATCCACCCAAGAACCACTTTGATTAACCTCTGTATATGCCGGTTTGAGGCCACAAAATTTGATGGTTCTCATGGTGCCCCCGCCACCCTTTTTGATTTTCTAGCAAAACGGAAAATCGATGACCAATGCCACCACTTGGACCTTGTAGCCCATCATCCCAGGAGAAAATCCCAACCAACCTTGACCCCATTGGTCCACCGTAGACGACGAATCGACGCCGGGAAATTTTAGTCACCGCCGGCTTTGTGGGAAAAATTGACTCTCTTCCGTCCACTTTTGGACTTCGTGGAAGGTATGAAAGTTGCTCCACTCACTGAGATCTTCATTTCTATGAAGTTTGAGATTTTTTGGAAATAGTTGGATTTTCCGGCTAGTCGGGGCGGCCGACAGCCACCCACGGCTGCGCTTGGCCAGTGGGCCACCAATGCTATTTTTAGGCTATGTCGAATGTCTTGAATTCAGTTTTGATATTTGAATGACGTAGGTTGATCGTTGGAACCTAATTTCGTTACGATACGTTACTTGATAAAAATGTGAATCGATGATCCGACCGTTGGATCGTCACCAAACTTGGATACACTATAATATGTAATATTTAAAGATCATAGGAATTTATGGATTGGGAATCCGACGTACGGATATTCCCGAATTGGATTTGTAAGTTAGCAAAATAGATGTTAAGCGGCACTTGGTTTTGGGCAATTGGCGGAGTTCCGACCGTTGAATCGTAATGAAATTTTAATATGTTATTCCAGAAGCATATTGTGGATCTTTGGGAGTTACGAATTGAAAATTTGATATGCGTATCTTCCGGGTCGAGTTATACAAGGTTGCAGACCCTACTGTCGATCTTTGATCGACGGTTGACTTGTGACCAATGGGTCGTGAACTATTTTAGAATGTCTTTGAGGATGTGTTTTATGTGAATTATGTATTTTATTGATAAGAGTTCTGAGATGTGATTCGATAATTGGTCACAGGCACAAATCATTCGGGATGCCTCGATGCGTGCGCTAGAGAATCATAGCGTGGACTCCAAGTGAGTGTCTTTTCCTTTTTATCATACATATTATTGATAGTTCCATCGACACTTTTAAATTGATTTGCGTATATTACCTTCATATAATTAATGCAAATGCTTGAAGAACTAATGTGAACTACGAATAACTTGATCCCTGTTTAGGGTACGTAGGCAGTCTAACCAGATGTTAGATGTAGCCATACAATAAGTGAGATTAAATAATGGAGACAAAAGCTTTGTTTGGGAAAATGAGCAATGCGAAGGAATCTGGCGAAAAACATGAGATTTAACCTTATGTTTTGGGTGAATAAATGTTGGTTATAAATCAATGTGTGAGGAAATGAGAAGTTGTGGTTTTATGTTTTATAAATGCCTTGCCATAATTATTTACATTTTAGTATGTGATTTAGTACAACCTTGCACAGTGTTACACACCAATGAGGAGGCCAAGGTAAGTTCAAGTGAGTATATAATGTTGGTATGATTGAATGGTAATTAGTGATAAATGGATATGAGTAGAATTCATTGTCCTGCACCCCGGTGTTAATGCTCTACCCGAGGCCAGGGCCTAGCCTTCACGTGATCGTTCACCACCCGCACTTTACGCGCACCTTGGATTCCAAGTTAGGTGCCAGTCTGTCGTACAGACCACTTTAGATGGTTCTGACTCGTAGGTGACTTGCAATACTTCACACAGCCTTCACGTGATCGTAGCACTTGAGCGTATTTAGTTACACCTAGCCTGTTGTGCAGACCACTGTAGGTGGTTCCGACTCATGTGCAGGACTTCATTGATGAGATATTGATTGGCTAGCATATTGATGAGATACTTATTGGCTAGTATGTTGATGAGCTATTGGCTAGCATGTTATCGAGCTATTGGCTAGTATATTATTGAGTTATTGGCTAGCATGTTATCGAGCTATTAGCTAGCATGTTATCGAGCTATTGGCTAGCATATTATTGAGCTATTGGCTAGCATATTATTAAGCTTTGGCTAGCATGTTATTGAACTATTGGCTAGCATGTTATTGAGTTATTGGCTAACATGTTGATGAGCTATTGGCTAGCATGTTATCGAGCTATTGGCTAGCATGTTGATGAGCTATTGGCTAGCATGTGGATGAGTTATGGAGAAGTCGTACAGGTCACTAGAGTTGACTCCCGACTTATATGCTAGCATTGATTGATAAGATATGAGATAAGTTGTACAGGTCACTAGAGGTGACTCCCTACTTATAGGCTAGCATTGATTGATGAGATATGAGTACAATCGTACAAGTCACGTTAGGTGATTCCGGCTGATATATCATTTTATATTGATTAAGTTCATTTGGCCTACTTGTTAATGCATTGTAAAGTTGATGGACATGGCATACCCGTGGTTTTGGCCATTCTTGAGCATGGGTGGATGTAAATATATATATATATATATATATATATATATATATATATTTATGTATATATGTGTGTGTATGTGCAGTACTGTCCTATAGAAAACGATAAGGGATTTACAGTGAGGGGTTATTACTGTTAGAAAGGTAATAGTTTTGGGAAGCTTGGTTTTATTGCTTATTCACACTTTCTGTTTTGTACCCCTCCAGGTTATAACTGTTGAGTTCGTATCGACGAGGATCTATGGCTAATCTTAGTATTGGTGGCTACTTTTAAGGGTATGATTCTTACCCATACTACTGTACTTTACTTATACTCTGACATTGCGTGTGAAATGGGTTCGCTCCCACTCATAGCATACTCTGGTATTTAGACACTTTTAGGTTCAAATTTATTCACATTATACACTATCACATTTTATGGCTTCATCATGTTCCAGGTGTCGACCAGCACAGCTCGATTCAAAGTCCAAGTGGACTTTCCGGATTGAGGTATGTCAGCAACGATCAATCCGTATTTCGTACCTCGTACAAAAAATGTCATTGCTGAAGGAATGGAAGATGGAAGCTTTTGGCCAAAGAAAAAAAAAACTTGGTGCAGTGTGCAGCCGGGTTCAGGCCGATGCATATGATTATGCATAAGGATTTGGCTGAGACAAATCATTAGGCCGAAGTCGAGAGTAGGTCGAAAAAGCCAATAAAATTTTAAAAAGTAGATGTCATGATTCCACTTTCCCTGACGGTATGATGTATGGACGTCACGATTCCATTTTCCTTGACATGGTTCCACTTTCCCTTTATTTTATAATAGTTGAAAGGTGGGCACTGGTTTGGTGAAGCAGAAAGATTTAATTCGACTCAAATATGGTACTATCATGACCCATATATATATATATATGTATGTATGTATGTATGTATGTATGTATGTATGTATAAAGGCAGGCCGACCCTTCAATTCTTCTCAACCTATATAACGCATGCCGAGCTTCGCGAGCTGTTGCTCGGCACAGGTTCGTTTTATATTGAGTACCATGAGAAGCGGTGGGCGAGAATCTTCGAGGCTTTGACCCCATTTGGTTTTTCTCAGCCAGCTCGTCGAGATCTTTTTCAAGACATGTCAGGTTGTGGAGTGGATTTCTCGACCATATATTTCTTCGACTGCACTAATTTCCTTAACCATTCAACTTATGGGCCGAAGCTTAAGGAAACTGGGGGGCAATGTTTAGACCCGATTTTACTTTATCGGCCTGAGTAATCAAGTGTCGTTAAATGACAAGGTGGTTGAAATGATTTTCAATTATTATTGGGAAATAATGTTGTGATTTTAATCATGATATTATCTCGTAGTAATATGTTAAATTATTTAAACCTAATATTTGTCTAAATCTTGATTAATTTGAACTCATGAAATATTGGGATATGCACGGCATCAATTGGATGAGTGCAGGAATGGTTAGATCATGCAGAAGCCTAGATAGGCTTGGCTTTTGGTGGTGATATGATAAGCCTAGGATTTGATGGTGATGGAGTTATGATGAGGTAAGAAGCCTAGATAGGCTAGACTTTTGATGATGAGGTTTGAAAAGTCATGATGCATGGATGGGATGAAATTATGAGAGGGTGATAATTAGAAGTGAATTTAATATTCATTTAGATAAAGCCTAGGAACATAGGTTTTTTGGAAGGCTAGGTTTTAAATGCATGTTTCTCGGGTTGGTGCTGTGAAGATGGATGGAG